CACCTTTAATCCTTGCGCTACTCGTGCCCAACAGGTCGATGCGACATTGTAGAAGCGTTCGATGTTCTCCTATTCTAAAGGACACTTATGGCGTAGTGAATAGTGGAGCCCTGTGGTGCACATGTGGTCGATTGTTTGATATTGTGCCTGAGGTCCACCAAGCCTTCCATCCCACCGAGGTCGGTGGAATTTGTACCAGAGTTATCTGAGAGTGTAGCAGCACTAGCGAGGTACATCAATAGGCCATCGCGAGTCATTCAATAGCCAAATATGCATTGATAATGCCTCAAAAGATGCTAATGAGATTGAGTGCATGGCGTATATCTTAAGGATCGGTCAATCCTGAGAGATTTGTCTTTATTATCTAATCTTCGTGTATTTTTCAGGTGCTGCGCGCCACGCATCTCTGCATCTTGTCGACCTTGCCGGCTCGGAACGTGTGAAAGAGTCCGCTGCTGAGGGTGATCGCTTCAGAGAAATAACCTTTATAACTTCAGCACTCTCCAGTATACAGAATTGCATTCGAAGTCAACTGATCAAGGTGATATATCGTGCTTTTTTCAATTTTTTTTTGTTTCATTTCCCGACTTTCCAGTCGCATTTACAATTTTTATCACATGTGAGCAGCCCATTTGTTTAGACATGTCAGTGATTTTCGTGTACATATGAGTTGAAGCCAATGCGTTATGGGCAATATTTACTAATAAATCAGTTGAGAGAAAACGATAAATGTTCCAGAAATAGCACATACCTTATCGCGACTCAAAGCTTACAATGGTCCTCCGCGATAGTTTGGGAGATGGAAACTCGAAGACGATGGTTATTGTCGCGTTAAATCCGGCTTTGGCACAAATAGCCGAGACTAAACGGAGTTTAGAATTCGCTCAGCAGGAATGTTATAGTATGGACCAATGATCAATATGGAATAGCTTTTGGCGATTCGTAAAACTGCACGACTATTTTTGGTTTAGGACTATTCACAACTAATTGAAAATTCTAAACTCTAACCTTTTTGAAATGTTGTGTATTGCATTCGGTAGGCGACTGTTTGGCTATCGTTTTCACTGGATAAAGATTTTATCCTAAACTTCTAGTGAGCTTTAGATAGCTTGAAAAATGACGAATCTAACAGTAGGCTTCTTACTTGGAAGAGCTTCTTAGCTCGTTGTAGCAGCATAAAGAAGATGGTGATTCGCGCTGGACCACCTAGGTCGTCGTTTGAACCTCGTAGCGGGTTTGTTGGTAATATAAAGTAAAGTAAAAGCTAAATCATAAAAATATGGAGCAAGTCCGTTCCATTGATTGAAAGAGTTCCCAACTTTCGAAGCTCGCAAATCGTTGGAAATTGTTGAGAGTTATCAATGAGCTGACTCTTCAGGCGCAGTGTCATTTTTTACAAGGTTCAAATATTTTTTAAATTCCTGTACATATAACAGCTGTGCACCGAAATTTGAGAGTGTATAGAAAAATATGGAGCATAGAAGTAATACGAGGAGCATAGGGACTTCTCAAATAGAGAAGAAACTCTGACTGATCAACGAAAACCGGTGGGAAAAGGGGGAGGGGGCTGTACAACACAGCGATCTAAACTGCCCTCTTTTTAGGATTAAATAGCCACAAAATATGCTCGATACTCGTCTATCTTAAAACTAATTGTTAGAAGCAAATAAACGTTGTTTTGAAACATGTCTGCTCACAAAGGAGGCGGTTTTTTTTTGCAGATGAGTATGACAAAGATTGGATCCGCAAAGAAGCAAGAACAATAAAAGAATCATCATGGCACTACATTACAAAAATTGCATAATTATTTTCTCAATTAGCATGAATCTCTCTTTAAATTAGATTTGATTCATGATATTGTCTAGATCTGCTCACTGTGAGCACTACAGCTCAACCACATGATTATATTACTTTGATAAAATTATAATTTGATCAGGACAAAATGCATATCTACTTCGCCTCTTTTTCAAATTGTCGCGTTATTTTTGGATAATGTGTAGATATTCCTTGATCAGTCGCTTGCCTGTCATTGTATTATTCTTTTTTACAATTGATTTAGAGAAGAAAATATCTAAAATACTTTGAATACTGAACTATTTCCTTATGTTTATGATGAAAAGTCGATTATAGAAGGTTTAGTTTTTGTAAGTACAAGGACAAGTACAAGTTTTCATGTAAATTTAGAATCAATCAAGATATACCATCTGACCACGTTGTGACATCACCTAAATTACTCTGTAACCTTATCTGTTAACATACGGATTTACGAGACCCGTACAAAAGCTTTGGGTTGCTACCATCATGGGTTTTCAAGGCCTTATTGACTCTCTTAAAGAACATTATTCTTGACTTTTTTCAATATAAGTTAAATTCATAAGACGTATTTTTCAAAATTCACTTGAATTATGTGAAACTGATATGTGTACTCATGGAATGCACGATCACTTAAAAGAGATAGTACAACTTCGTATTGTGATCTCACGACTATCGTAGCATTGCCACGCTTTCTGGTGCTTTGATAGAGTGTTTCATGTTTAACACCAATTTTATTATCAGATGAACTAATCTGTTGATATGAGTGTAAAATAAGTCATTTTGAAGCAAATATTCTGAGTAGTATAATTCTGTGCGATTTTAGTTACGAGATTTATGTAAATTATATAGACACACGAATGACAATAAATCTTATTCCAGTTGTTAATTTTTGTAATTTGTACCACGCTTTATCTTCAAAATTAAATAGAAGTTAGCTCTCCATCAATAATCTCAACATTCATTGATGTTGAATTAAAATTCACTATATTTGCTTTATTCCAGCCAAGTTGGTTAGAGTTGCTTCGCAAGAGACACGTTCGTTCGATCTTGTTTACCAAGCTCACCAACCCTTCCATCGTTCCGAGGTCGACAAGTTGGTGATAAGCTTGTTTTAGAAGGAAGGATAGCTTCATTTACATTTAATCACCTCTAAAATACTTGATAAAGTCGAATGTTTGAAGCAATCCTGAGGGATTCATCAGCACCCAGAATCTTGTCCTTTTTCCCTCGTGCTTCGACATTTCGTTTTGTGATCGAATTTTCATGTCTCATGAAGAGTGAATTCGTGATCAAATCTTATACAGCAGCAACAGAACGAGTAGACAGGATCCAGGAAACTTTACAGAACAGCAAGTAGTGTTATAACAGCGATAATCACGTTTTTGCTCTACGTGAGACCGCTTTTTGAGAAAGATCTGTTGTTAATGGTGAGATGAACATTGAGGCTATTGAACACTTCCATTCGAAAATGCTACTAAAATTCAGTACAAGTTGGAAATCATCCTTTTGACATCTACGTCAGTATACATCATATATTAAATATACGTTTCCAAATACTAAGAGCACATGATTTTTTTTTTTTGATAAGTTTATGTTTCAGCAACTAAACTAGCTGAGTGGAGCTTGATAATATCCACTGGCAGTCAGTTGATCAACATTAATCCCATATCGAAAGTGATCGCTCGGTACATTTCCGGATGTTTTCGACCTTATGTGAGAACAAGCTCCCACATTCCAACTCGTATAGGTCGACGATAGACTCGATTTAGGAGTGCTATAGGGAATTCGAAGACACTGTGGAGCTAACCTTGAATATCTTTTAAGCAACTGGGGTGGTTTGCTTAACGCGGTTTTTAAACAATACTGCCAAAAAAGTGTTGATTACTTCAATTGAAAGTTTAATCAAGTTGAATTTCCTGAGCATATTCTGCTCCTTACTCGTCTTTTTATGGGCCTAGAGAATTTGGGCATTTATTGATGATGGCACATTTTTGAAAGTTCATTTGTCATTTTTTATTCAAAAGTGCATATGCTAATGATTTTAGCCCGTTGCTTGAAGCATGCAATTGACTTTGTAAATCTACATAATTGAGCTGAAAAAATTACCTGTATTGCGCATTCTTGCACCCATTGTGAGCGCTCCTTCTTGAGGTGTGGTTATTTTCATGAGATTTGGCCAACTATGTGCTGACAAAAGACGAGAAACAGGAAAGGAGAGAAGAGAAAATTTGTAGTTCCCAAGAGAAAATTCACTTCTCTGTCTAATTGTCGCTTCAGCTCTCAGAACATTGAGTGGTGAGCAAAAATTCGACTTAAGACTGAATGGTGGGACAGATGTCGTGTAGGTGTATGAGGTAGCACGGATTGGGTGAAACGCGTGTTCAACCCCCGTCTAAAGCCGGAATTTTTGGCTCAGCACTCAATCTTCCTAGTACATTTGGATCATCATGACGTGGGCAAAAAAACAGTAAAAACACTGGACACTCTGAGTATTACATAACATAATCGATGTTAGCTTAACTGGGTTTATAAAGCGCTATCGTATAGCCAACCAGACCTGTTATAGGTTGATAGCCGATAGCAATCATAGTGTAAGTATTGAAGACTGCGTGGTGGAGCACAATGTGCCTCTGTGGGTATCGCGGTCAGCGCGCGCCCTCCGGTATGTGAAAACGCGGTGGCTCCACTCCCGCTGGAGATGAGGTTATTTGCTGCGCCACATCAGTTTTCTTAGGTAAATTTGGAGACATCATGACACTGGAAAAAAAAAAACGCTAAAAGATTCGCAAAAAGAATGCCTAAAGCCTAAACGAGTTTGTACGCCAGGGCCATACACCGTAAAAGTAACAAGATTAGTGTAGAATCCGTCGTAAGTGATGAAGATCTTCTATCTCTGCTTTTCTGTCAGTAATCTATTGCTATCTTATAGGAATCCGATCAAGCGATCTCGGTTACTCCACATCTCATAGCCGCAAAATGTTTGACGAGAGTGGGATTCGAACCCACGCCCCGACGGGACTGGTGCCTTAAACCAGCGCCTTGGACGCGCTCGGCCATCTCGCCATGATAGTTCAGTTTCTGAATGCGGCAGAGCCATGCTTTATACCCCAAATAATTCACTAAAGGTGACAGATTCCGTTTGCCTTTATTGATGCTGTATTGTAACTCTGGTTACCAAAAGAAGCTGACGAGAGGTGGGATTCGAACCCACGCCCCCGAAGGGACTGGTGCCTAAAACCAGCGCCTTGGAACCGCTCGGCCATCTCGCCATGCTAATTTTGGTTCTGAATGCGGCAGTCGCCATGCTTTATACCCTCAGATAACTCATCAAAGGAAACAGATTCCGTTTCCCTCTATTGATGCTGTATTGTAACTCTGTTGTAGACTCTCGTTATCAAAGAAGCTGACGAGAGTGGGATTCGAACCCACGCCTCCGAAGGGACTGGTGCCCTAAAACCAGCGCCTTGGACCGCTCGGCCATCTCGCCATGCTAATTTGGTTCTGAATGCGGCAGGCCCATGCTTTATAACCCCAGAATAACTCATCAAAGGAAACAGATTCCGTTTCCCTCTGTTGATGCTGTATTGTAACTCTATTGTAACTCTCGTTATCAAAAGAAGCTGACGAGAGTGGATTCGAACCCACGCCCCCGAAAGGATGGTGCCTAAAACCAGCGTCCTTGGACCGCTCGGCCATCCTTCGCCGTGCTAGTTTGATTCTGAATTGCGGGCCATGGCCATGCTTTATACCCCAGATAACTCATCGAGGAACATGATTCCGTTGCCTTTATTGATGCTGTATTGTAAACTCCCAAGACCGACTGTCTATTAACCTCGATGCTTCAGTATGATTCTTGATTTTCTTCTTTGAGCAGAACACGAGGTGTTACATTAAACTTTATTCGATAGCTGACGTTTCGGCAGTTCGCCTTCTTCAGAGCCTGGAAAGGTCAAAATGTTTGCAATACAATCAGTCAAACACCTCCATTACTTCTTTAGAGAAAATCACCAGACCTAGATTTCAATCGCATCAAGCAAAAATCAACACTCAACATACTCACCGCTTTTTATATGTGTTCCACTGGATGATCCAAGTGGAGATCACCGGCAAGAGAGACACATAGGCTCGTAATGCACCCTACCCATCAAAACAACAGTCTTATATACTGGCTCATATCACGAGTGTTTACAAGGCATTCCTCCCTGCGGTTTATGGTTGGATTGGTCGTATTAATCCAAAATGCTTCCAAGATCTTTCGCGCTGATGTTTTTTTGCTCCTGCGCAAGGATGGTGACTTCGATTTCAAAATCAACTCCGTCGTGCTTCTGTGCTCTATGCGTCCCTAGCGGGGTGTTTTGTCTATTAAGACGCTTGTCAGCTAGGTGTTCTTCTATGCGTGCATAGAGCGGCCTACCCGTTTCGCCAACATATTTATCACTACACGCTTTGCAAGAGATTAGGTAGACTGTACCTACGCTCATGCAATCACCGTCTCTGCCGTTAGGACATATTTTACAATCTTTCATCATACAGAGACGGTCATATAAGCGGTTGCGAACTAGTTGGCGTTTTAGAGTATTCGGTGGTATTTCAATAATGGCCACCGATTGCTCTAAACCCGCTCTTTTCAAACATCGTTTTATAGCTGTACTAATCTCATTTGAATAGAACGGGATGATAAACGGGACTTTCCTTTCAACTAAGTTTTCGTTCGGAGGCGCATTATTTCCTCTAAACCTAAGCCGAGGGGCTACGAATTCGTATCCATTAGAAGTGGCTATTTCCCGCGCCAGTTTCACGGATTCTACTCTCTGCTCCTCCCCGGTACATACATTGGCTGCTGTTCGAAAACATGTTTTTTACTAGCGCCTTCTTCGTATGTGAGGGATGAGAAGAGAGATAGTGAACCAAGATATTCTTACTACTTGGCTTTCGGTACCACTTCGTTATGTAGCCGCTCTCAGTTAAGCTTATTTGCACGTTCAAGAATGGAAGCCAATCGTCTTTTGGTATCTCACGGTGAATCTTATATACTCTGACTGTTCATTCAGCAATCTAAAACAATCATCCAGCTCCTCTTGAGTGGAACAGATAATCAAACAATCATCTATATACCTACAGTAGAGTAATGGCCGGAGATCCATCACTGGTGCTTCCACTTTAGACATAAAGGCAATGGCCAGGCTAGGTGCCAGTCGCTGTCCCATTGCCAGCCCTCTGGTTTGAGCATAATAATTCCCGGACCATCTGAAGATTGAGGCAGTTCAAGCACTCTTTTTAGTAGGATCATGAACTGCTCAATCGTCAAGCCATACATGTTTACAGCTCCCTGGTGTTGTATAAGAAGCTCATGTGTGGCTTGCAATGCGGAGTCATTCGACACGTTGGTATATAAAGCAGTGACGTCGAATGACTCCATTACGTACGCGTTGTTTCGGGTTCGCGTTACGTAGACGATCCAGGAACATCTGAGTGTTTGTCAGTATGGGCTGGATGTTGTCCTAGCAACTGGGATGTTATTAAAGTTCAAGAACCATGCTAGTCCTATCCGTCGTTCCGCCTACACAACTGATGATAGGTCTAACTTTGAATATAGATGGATCGTTAGACATCAGACTCATCAGTGGATACTAACTTATGTGTTTTTTATAAGCAAGCTATAAGACAGGATATGTTGGTGACTGGATTTTTAATTGAGAAATGATAGATGGTCTTAAGCCTGCCGCTTTTGCCGTACGGACCCACTCACTGTTTAATTTGCGTTGTTGCCTTTTGAATTCCTTTACAGAAGATGATCGGTAAAGCGAGGCATCTTCGAGATGCTTGCTCGTTATTGCGATGATCTAACTGTCGAGGAATCACAACAAATATCTCCACCCTTATCACTAACTGGTAGCCTTATCCTAGCCTTCAGCTTATCAACTCTCGAACCTCTTTCATACCACGTTTTTGTAGTTCGGTGAGGTTCGATTGATATCTTCTCCTGCTATAGTGAGTGAGGGTTCTAAAAGTTTTCGTCCGCAAATTTCCGGAATTTTCTATCTACCTCCTCGTTGGGGTCTTGTTGTCTATAGAACGGCTGAGGAAATGGGGGTATTAGTGCCTCTACTTGCTGTTTCATAGTCCTATTGAGTCTCTTACACTCTGGGCCCTTTTTACGGTGTTGATCTTGCAAATCATGTTAACCACATGCAACCCCTATGCGCAAGGACACCCTTATGGAAATGGGGTTGAAGATTGGTGACAGCTTGGGACCCAAAGCGGTGAGTATGTTGAGTGTTTGATTTTTGCCTATCATGATGCATTGTGAATCTAGTCCGGTGATTTTCTCTAAAGCAGTAAATGGAGGTGTTTTGAGAACTGATTAGTATTGTCACCAACATTTTTACCTTTCCCAGGCCTCTGGAAAAGGCGAACCTGGCCGAAACATCAGCTATCGGAATAAAGTTTTATGGTAACACCTCGTGTGTTCTGCTCAATGAGAAAGAATCAACGAATCGTGCTGTAGTTGTAGTTACATCCTCAGTTACCAACGAAAGCTGAACGGCGAGTGGATGCGAACCCCGCGCCCCCGAAGGGACTGGTGCCTTAAACCAGCGCATTGGACCGCTTCCGCCATCCTCGCCATGCTAGTTTGGTTCTGAAATGCGGCAGGCCATGATGCCTTTTATACCCCAGATAACTCAGTAAGTGACAGAATTACGTGCCTCTATTGATGCTGTATTGTAACTCTATTGTACTCTCGTTATCAAAGAATCTGACGAGAGTGGGATTCGAACCCACGCCCCCGAATTGGGGGGACTGGTTGCCTAAAACCAGCGCCTTGGACCGCTTCGCCCATCTCGCCATGATAGTTTGTTCTGAATGCGGCAGGCCATGCTTTATACCCCCGATAACCTCCAGTAACGTATGACAGAGGACGATTGCTCTCTATGATGCTGTATTGTAAACTCTAACTTTGTAACTCTCGTTAAATCGAAAAAGAAGCTGACGAGAGTGGGACTTCGACCCCACGCCCCCGAAGGGACTGGTGATCCTAAAACGCCGGCCCTTGGACCGGCGCGCCCAATGCCTCGCCTATCGCATAGTTTAGGTTCTGATGTGCGGCAAGGCACACATGCTTTCTATACCCCAGATACCTCAGTAAAGGTGACAGAGTTACCGGTTGGCCATCTTCTTGATGCTGTATTGTAACGTTCTATTGTAACTCTCGTTATCAAAAGAAGCTGACGAGAGTGGGATTCGGGACCCACGCCCCCGAAGGGACTGGTGCTAAAACCAGCCGCTTGGAGCCGCTCGAGCGGCCATATCATCAGCCATCCTCTGGTTGGTTCTGAATGCGGCAGGCCATGCTTTATACCCCAGATAACTCAGTAAAAGGTGACAGATTGAGCGTTGCCGTCTATATGATAGCTGTAATTGTAACTCTATTGTAACTCAAAATCGTTATTCAAAAGAGAGCTGAGCGCACACTGGGATGCGAACCCACGCCCCCAAGGGACCCTGTGCCTAAAACCAGACGCCTTGGACTCGCATCGGCCATCTCGTGCCATGCTAGTTGCGTGTCCTGAAGTGCGGCAGGCCCATGCTTTAGTAGAACCCCAGCATAACTCTCTCAAGGGGACAGATTACGTTGCGCCCTCTTATTGCTATCGCTGTAATTGTAACTCTATGGTACACTCTCGTTTGTGCATCAAGAGAATCTTGCGACGAGAGTGGGATATCGATCCCAGCGCCCGTCCGAAGGGACTGGCTGCTGCCTTCAAACCAGCGGCCTTGGCCAGTGCTCGGGCCATCTCGCCCTGAAATGAGGTAGTTCGCAAGGCAACCACGAGTCACTGCAAAGCCCGATATACATCAATCTACCTCAAACGACAGCTGAAAATTTGAAGACAAATGTCCTTCATTCATCAATGAAAGTTGGGGGGTGAACTTACCAAGCCAAACACGATATATTATAGGTAAAGTGGTCCATAATGCAAACAATATTTTCCATTAACGAACTCTATTTGTTTATCAGAGACTCTGTGCATTCGTTAATATATATAGTTAGAGGGCG